CGCCACTTCTGCTTTGCAGTGATGGCTGACTAACGACTGCTCATGGTTCCACTTGTTTCATATTTGAACCGCTGCACTCGTCTCAGAACGGGAGCTCAGCACTACTTTCAATATATGCTTTAAAATTAGCACGAAGGTTTTTCCCCAGTGTTTTGATGCTACTTCATTATCCCCAAAGGTGGAGTTTACAATAAAAGAAAGCCCACTAGAAATCAAGGTAGAGAGGTGAATGATGAGACAGGGGTAAAAAAATCAACAAAAACCACCTTTGATCCCCGAGAACGGACCCGAGAAATCGTGGTCCTCCTTTAACTGTTTGCATACTCTTCACACAAGCGTCCTGTGGCATCAGTGATTTAAAAGGCCTTGTTAGCTATGTTGTCAAAAAGAGCAAAAACGCGAAAATAAGATGGATTCCATTCAGCGGACCCCTGATTATGAGCCCGTAGCACCACCAGCGCGCATTTCCCTTAATAACATCGTCCATAGAATAGTTTAGCAGATATGGGAAGCAAGTTTGAGCTCTAAGTCTCAAAATGACTGCAGCGATGTGCACCTCATTTCAAATGGCCAGACCAACTTGTTGACCATTCAGATAATTGAATCATTCCCATTGCATGCATGAGATGAAGCACTTCAACTTCGTAACTCTTCAACAGAATGCACCCCCCCCCCCCCCCCCCCCCCCCCCCCCCCCCCCCCCCCCCCCCCCCCCCCCCCCCCCCCCCCCCCCCCCCCCCCCCCCCCCCCCCCCCCCCCCCCCCCCCCCCCCCCCCCCCCCCCCCCCCCGCACGCCTTATGGAAGAACCTGAATAATTGTCCCATGGACCACAAATGTTCCGCACCAGAAATCAGATTTTCAGTTCAACCCGATGATGGAAGGCTAAGCAAAAGCCCTCATTTTCTTGATAAATATGTGATGCCAGCTTGATCCTTACTCCCTCATCGACGGTGGTGCAGTAAATCATCTCAATCACTCAATCATCATGCTTTACCCTACCTCCCATTCCTGAAATGTGCGGAACGACTCGAAATAAATAATCAAACTGCCAGGCTAACATGGATACAACGCATGCCACTTAAACGCTTCGGCTGTCAGCGAACAGAAAGCGAATACGCCAAACAGCGGTGACAGATCCCTAGCTGGGTTACTGCCGCATCCAACAAACATCCGCCAATTTCTTGGTCAATGATTTTGCTCCGTTGAATTTTTCGTACGATTAATGTGTAACATCAACTAAATTGGAAACAAAGAAAAGCTATACCCATTTTTTCCTAAAAAGTAATGCCAGCTTTTCTGCTACAATTTGATGCAAGCAGCCGTTAACAGGTCGAAAAACAAAAACGATAAAAAACGCAATACATTAGAAAAGCTAGAAGTAGAGTGGATTGGACTTTTTACTGGAATGGTCTTTCTTATTTGCTCCCCATTATAAATGGTGGGAGGATGAGGACAAAAATCAATACTAGTGTATCCAGTAAAGGAGCATGGCGATTTAGAGGTTCGAAACCATGAATATCATTTTCTTTCATAGTAAACGTTCAGAACTAAGCCTTGAATGGGGTTAGAACCCCGGGTGCGTGAGCAATTTTGCCTCAATGGTCCTGCCGCGATGGCTAGAGCACAGACGATTAGAGAATGCCCTAGGACTAAGCCTTGGAGAGGAGAGGGACCCGCTAGAGAGCGCAGAGGAGGTAAAGGGCTGAGTTCAAGTAGTCCGTCAACCTTCATTTTTGCTTGGTGGGTTCCTTCCTCCGAATCCTAAGCCTAGTCCTAGCGGCTCGCTAAGTGACTATTACTTTTTCTAGAGCTTTATGTAATTCAGCATAAAAACGCGTACAATATAAAAAAAAGCTGGAGAAATGACGCAAGAATAAAGCCGATAGCAGTTCGTACCTCTTAAGGACTCCTCCAACCAAACTGGCAATAGAGCTGGATACCGCAATGCCCCCTCTTACTGGTAGACCCTAATATCATACAGTGATTCTTCTCATGCACTAACGTGGAACATGAAATTGTCGATAATGTTAATCTCAAGCAATTCTGCGCCACGGCAAAACCCTGCGAAAACAATTTCATTGTTGCTCGAGTACGATACCAGTTTTTGCCAACTCCTGACATTTACATAACACACCAAACCCAGTGCAAAGAATAGGAACTATACACTGCGTCCCATAATTATACGTCCACCTAAGAATTTCCCAAAATCTCACAGATATAGATGTTTCGAAAAAAGTCTCCTATGTGACAATGTATCGCATATAAATACGCAATTGCCTATGAACATCAATTTTCTATTTGAGATCACAGGAATTTTTCCCAATAATTTTTGTGTAAAAGGCCACTCAGCCGACGTCCCAAAATTATACGTCCACCTCACGTTTATCGATTACTTTTCACTTCTGTTCCACGAAACTTTTTCATTGTGGTAACACTTCACTTCTTAAGGGAACAGCATAATAAAGACTGCTGTTGGATTTTGAGAAAGGGAAAATGTCGCAAAAACTGTTGAACAACGCAATCGCACCAGATTTGGTCCAGATTCACGCCAAGCTTGAAATTTTTCAGGGGTTTCACATGATATGGAGTTTAGAAGAGCTCTAAAAGTCTCTCATTACTTTTCGATGGAAACAAAGGCCGTGTTACAGAAAAACATCCACTTTCATCCAACGGTGCTCTGTCATCGAATCTTCTTGAGAACTTTATGCCTCAACGGACTTTTGTTTCATGCATGTAAAGGAATCCCAAGATCATTCTTGATCGGAAAATGTGAAAGACGTTCATTCATGGCAAGGAATCGTGGCGAAAACTGGGCTGATTTTTGCATGAAGGTGCAGCCGAGCCGACTGAAGTAAGGTTCGCTTCTGCCCGATATGTTTTGGCATTTGTTTGTTTCTCTTCTCACGTTTACCTTTCCCTTAATGGCTTTTTTCTTAGTGAAGCACTACTAAAAGAAAGAAAATGTTGAAAAGAAAGACAGACAAACACTCATGCATAGCAAGGAGAAAGGACCCTGCTCCAGTCGGCTCGGCTGCACCTTCATGCAAAAATCAGCCCAGTTTTCGTCACGATTCCTTGCCATAAATGAACGTCTTTCACATTTTCCGATCAAGAATGATCTTGGGATTCCTTTACATGCATGAAACAAAAGTCCGTTGAGGCATAAAGTTCTCAAGAAGATTCGATGACAGAGCACCGTTGGATGAAAGTGGATGTTTTTCTGTAACACGGCCTTTGTTTCCATCGAAAAGTAATGAGAGACTTTTAGAGCTCTTCTAAACTCCATATCATGTGAAACCCTGAAAAAATTCTCAAGCTTGGCGTGAATCTGGACCAAATCTGGTGCGATTGCGTTGTTCAACAGTTTTTGCGACATTTTCCCTTTCTCAAAATCCAACAGCAGTCTTTATTATGCTGTTCCCTTAAGAAGTGAAGTGTTTACCAAATGAAAAAGTTTCGTGGAACAGAAGTGAAAAGTAATCGATAAACGTGAGGTGGACGTATAATTTTGGGACGTCGGCTGAGTGGCCTTTTACACAAAAATTATTGGGAAAAATTCCTGTGATCTCAAATAGAAAATTGATGTTCATAGGCAATTTTTTGCCGGGGTAAAAAAAAACTTTTACTTAATGGCCCCCGATACCAAAATTTTTTTTTTTTGGGTTGGAAAACCCCGTGGTGGGGGGGGAGACTTTTATGCGAGACATCTATATCCTGTGAGCTTGGAATTCTTAGCGTGGACGTATAATTATGGGACGCATGTAGTTCGGTTAGAGAAAACACTCACAACTAGAACCTGCAAGCTTCAGTTTCTCCGCTAATCGATAACATTCACTGTTCGATTCCGGCGGCAATCGTGGTTCGGGGGGGGGGCACCACGTAACGTCGCGTCAGGATCACGAAATCGCCCTTTTCCAGGTCTAAGCTAAAGTAGGAGGGACTACGGAGTGCGGAATCCATTTTCGTATTCTCCGGAGTTCGCTCCTGCTGCCCGGCTTTAGTCCAGAGGCCTTTTTACAGAGTGCCCCCCCCCGCGCCACATTACGCCTCGATTCCCAAATACCACATGAAGAAGGAAAGGAATATAAAATGGCCTCATTAGCACCATCAAGACTTCAACAACAACGCGAAAAAAATAACGATTAGCGAAAACGAGTTTATCACATATATACACCGCCTAATATCAAACAGATGGAAAGCATATCTGAACAATAAATTACTACAAAATACCTTTACAATATGAGTCCTATGATTACGCCGAAATTGAGAAAAAGAGACAGCAGTGTCACTGTCAGCAGAGCGGCCAGTTCAGCAGGGATAACGCGATGAGGGAGAGGGTGAGCGAGGCGCAGGCTGCCGGGAGGGGCGATCGCATTGGAGCCGCGCGGCGTCGCCGCATGTGCGACGACACGACAATCGCGCTGCTGCAGCTCGGGCTCAAGCTGCTGCTGCTGCTGAAAACCGCCCCGGCCGTCCTTCACCGTCGTTGCCTTTTGTGGATCGATAACGACAACGACCAGCTAGGCCGCCGGCCGTCTATAACACACCCTCGCCCTCCCACTCACATTCTCCTGCACATCCCATCCACCCGCACATCAGCAGATGATGTCTGACGTGCACACACACTGACGGTGCATGCTGCATCTCTATCTCATTGCAAATGTGCTCATTCGAACTGAAAAGTGCAGCTGTTGAAAAAATAATGATCGTTACCCTGGCCACGTTCGCCGAACCCCGACCACTGTAAACAAAACAGAACCAAGCACCAATTTGGCCCTTTTTAAAACCAGTCCTAAAATCAATTTGTCTATTCCCTAGGTGATATCATGATGCAGTTTTCTCGGCGAACTAATGCGAAACGCGAACATTCCAGCTTTTCACGTATGTCAAGTGACTGCCCTCACATCTCCCCCACCCCCCCACCCGCGTAGACTGGCTATACTCCCCCTGGCTCGGGTTACCCTACTTCTGGAAAAACGGCATTGGTGCCCCCTAACTGGAGTAGGCCTTAAATCTGGATAGAACTTAAGCCAGTGGTAATCCGGAAGGAAATCAGCGTTCGCGATGCATGGCGCAGATGTTAGCGTAATGGGCCAATGAGCTCCGCAATCAATGGAAATAAGATGGAAATGTGCAATAAACAAATCACTATTCCAGTCCACAGCAAAGCATGAAAGAATATAATGAACGAAGGAACCACCGCCCAATTTCCTTTCAATATGAGCAGAAGAGAGGCATTGAAAAGAGGTACAGCTGGTATCCTCACATGCAATGTATTCACATAATTTTGCCCAGACTGCTGAGCTGTGTAAAACGATAAAAGTTGAATACACTCTTGTAAAACTATTGTATGGAGTAGATATATCATTGAAAAAGCTTTTACGATTCTGAATGAGCTGAATGTGCGACACAGATGCAAGGGATTGATCAATGCCGCTCTATCCGCCCCATCCCCTTTATTCATCGGAGCAAAAAAGGGTGGCATGGGAGGAATGCCCGAAATGGATTAGCCAATTGAATAGCGCGAACAGGCTACTGAGTGAGTATTACCTCTTCTTCACATTCATGACAGAAAATGTCCGTGGGAATTTTAAATGCCTTGGCTGCCCTGCACCAAATTGCCTGCGCCGTCAATTGTAAGGCTGGTGTCAGAGTCCGCGATCCGTCGCAGGTTTCGCTGATTTTCGCGATTTGCGCGATTCACGCGACGGGTCATCACAAGTGCCCGATCAATACTGCAAGGTGTTCTCCAATCCTGCCGCCACTTCTGCTTGATAGTGATGGCTGAATGACGACTGCTCATGATTCCACTTGTTTCATATTTGAACCGCTGCACTCGTCTCAGAACGGGAGCTCAGCACTACTTTCAATATATGCTTTAAAATTAGCACGAAGGTTTTCCCCAGTGTTTTGATGCTACTTCATTATCCCCAAAGGTGGAGTTTACAATAAAAAGAAAGCCCACTAGAAATCAAGGTAGAGGTGGATCAATGAGGCAGGGATGAAGAAAAATCAACAAAAACAACCTTGAACCCGAGAAACGGGACCCTTTTCTCCCATTGATTTGCGCGTTAGAGTCATCGTGCTGACCTCATCAACGCTAACGCTCTCTCTGCTAGGCGGCTAGAGCCAGACGGCGAGGGCATGGGCGGGCAGCGGCGATAGCGGCGCGGGGACGGCCATGCTAGATCGCCGGAGGCATATCCTTCGCTGCGAATTGCGTGTCCGCCCGCACCCTCAGGGGACCGCCCGTCTTTCCACCAGGTAGATTTACACTTCGCCGACTTCCGATCTCATCGTGGTCCTCCTTTAACTGTTTGCATACTCTTCACACAAGCGTCCTGTGGCATCAGTGATTTAAAAGGCCTTGTTAGCTATGTTGTCAAAAAGAGCAAAAACGCGAAAATAAGATGGATTCCATTCAGCGGACCCCTGATTATGAGCCCGTAGCACCACCAGCGCGCATTTCCCTTTAATAACATCGTCCATAGAATAGTTTAGCAGATATGGGAAGCAAGTTTGAGCTCTAAGTCTCAAAATGACTGCAGCGATGTGCACCTCATTTCAAATGGCCAGACCAACTTGTTGACCATTCAGATAATTGAATCATTCCCATTGCATGCATGAGATGACCATACAACTTCGTAACTCTTCAACAGAATACACTTTCCCGCCCCT